CCGTGATACGCATCCCTTTAGACAATCACCACTCGATCATAATAGCTCAACATACTCCACGTCTACCCAGAGAAATACAGGAGAACGTGAACAGACGCAGCGCGCATGGTTGAGATCGCAGAGAACACCAGATACGATTTTTGGGGCGGAAGCAGATGCCTTGGGAAATGCAGGCATCACCACTGTCCAGCATGGGAAGGGTGTTAGCAATGCGCTGTGGTGGGGTACGCATCCGTTCCAGCTCATATCAGGCGCGTCTTCACATGGACTGACACAACACAACCTCGTATGCACAGGTCCGACCTCCTTCTTGTCACTGCAGGACAGACTCATACAAGTTCTCAAAGCACGTGGACAAGTCGAGCCACAAATCGACCCTGACTTGATGACGACAGCTCCCGAGGGTGGTAGCAGTGTCGATCGTGATTCGCAGTCGGATTCGGACGATGCCAGGTCAAATTATACTGTCTGGCGATGGGGCTGTAACAAACTGATGTACGTATGCGGCAAATTCACTGTAATCCTGACTTTCCACTTACCTCGATTCAATCTAGCTTCGGTACTAAACCACAAGTTGATGAAACGGTGATCCCCATTGATCCGCTCTTTCTACCATCGCAATTGGCACATCGCTTTTTCCGAGCATACGTCGTGACTATTCATATAATGTACCCCGTCATGGATATTGACGAGGTTCGCGGATCGATATCAGTCGCTTATGCAGGCGGTGTCGATTACCGATCGGATAAAGGAACCCAACCCAGCAAGATGGCGCGGAGTTTACACCAAGCGCGCAATCTGATGGTACTAGCCCTGGGCGCTCAGATTGAAGGTGGCGACGGTGATGCACACTGTCCGAAAGACATCGCACGTGCTTGGTCCACAAAATTGGCAGATCGCGCGCATAATATTCTTTTGGAAACCCGAGACAATGGGGGCGTGGAAGCCGTCAGAATATGGATACTCTATACAGTATTCTTGGGAAATTATGGACAAGTCGCTGGTAAGCTCAAGTTTCGGCCCTTCTCGCTGTGTGTTCTAGTTATTCACCAGGTTACACTTGAGTAGAACAATATTTGGCGATAGGCCATGCTTCTAGACTGGTACTCAGCTTGGGCTTACACCGAGATTCTACTTGCCGGCAAGACCAAAGATTACGGGTGGTATTCTGGACAACCTATGTCTTGGAAAAAACCATCAGCTTGTGGCAAGGTCGGCCAAGTTGCCTCAACGTCCGTGGCGAGATTGACACTTTTTTACCCCTAAGTGACCAAGATGTATGTGAGCGCTATGCATCGCTGACGCAGAAGGCTGATATTTATGTTGCTTGTCTTGTTGCAGAGCAAGATCAACGCACTGCGCACGGTGGTTGATCTGGTAGACTTTGTTGACAACGTCCAAGCCATCTATTTCAATCACGATCGCGATGCTTCCAGGATATCTGCCATTGACAAGGTTAATGAGGTTTTTGAGGAGCTCGAGGCTTTGCGACGGTCCGTTCCCGAGGAGATGCTCGATTTCCATTCGCCAGATCCCGATTCGCCCGGAATTCTTCTCGCTGTCGACACTCCCGAGGGAGAAATGGCATTATTCAAGTTCCGGCTATGTCTACTATATCACAATATTCGGATGCTAGCGACGCTGCCTCTGCTCTCCTATATAGTGTGGCAAGATGTCACAAAGCAACCCTTCACGGCCAACCCAGAAGCCGTTCGAATAGCAGCAGAGTGTGTATCGTCTGCCGAAAATACCGTAAGTCATTACATCAGCGATTTTCCTTGATGCATGGTTGCTCAAACATTCACCACGATGCTCTTAGATCTTGGCCTTCCAAGTGTATATGGCTCAGATACCGTATTTGCCATTCGTGAGTATTGTGGGTGTTCGTCGAGATATGCAATGGTTCCGTTAACATCGGTCAATCACCTTCCATTAGATGGGCGACTTTACGATGATGCTATTATTTGCCATACCGGTCCTGTATCTAGACAGCCTCCGGTACGAAGCTAATTCAATAGCAAGAAGGAATGTTGAGGTACTGCGAATTGCGACTGGAGTTCTCCAGCACTTCGATCATCCCGCAGGCGATGTTTGCGAGGTAAGTAAACGACGGCGAGGTCTCTGTGTTTGTGCAGGCGGGCTGATATTTGGTATCACTACCTTGATCTACTTGATATGAATGTCCTTCCTCCGGTTCGTATACAACCCACCACTCGATTTCCCCCCTCCCTTGCGCCTCGACCCAAAGAAAATGGTACAAGATTTCTTCGACAATTACTTGCATCGACCGGACTGGTCTGCACCAAGCATGCAATTGCAATCTGCCGCAATTGACACTAACTCGACGGGCAGCAAGGAGCTTCTGTCATGGTTGACCAGTCCTTACGAACGGGGAGGCCAAAGGGCCGCATAATATTGGGCAATCTCAGAACACGTGGCCCAGGCGCAAGCAACAAATTGCCATAACCCAACACCCTTCGGCTGCAGCCGTCCGCACCATTGCATTCCATCATGAACGACTAGCTTTTGACATACGTTGTATCCAGCATTTTTCTACATCTTCGCATTTTACGCATCGCGCAACGACAACCGTTGTACGCCTCAGATCGACAATAGGACGCTGTCTATGCATAACAGGTTTCCAACTCGCGAGTAATCTTTGTTTCTGTTAATATGAACACATGGTCTAAGTGTCAAATATGAGGAGAAGCGTCTCGTATTCCTAGCTAGAAAAGCTGTCTAGAAACTGAGCATCGGCCTAGAGTCTGGCTGTAGGGAGTGTTTGCAACTCAACACCATCATAAGGGACGAGGGTGAAAAGGGGGGTACGAAGTGATCCGTGATCGTTGCTGGAGCCGGCCGCCGACAAAATCGTCTCGCGTCGATTGGCTGATAATGCGCTGAGCGTGGTGATCTCGAAAACGAGGCGAGCTGTTTAGATCGCTCATCATCGTAATTGAGGAAAGCGTGTCTGTTGGCTACTTCTTTGGTTGGATACACCGAAATCTGCGTAGTACCATTCCCGGCTGTCTTCACACCATTCGCACAGTATCGATTCCCGCAACACCGGTTTTCAAGATGGCTTCCCTCGTTCTTCCTGGATTCCGATCTGGTGAGTTTCAGCACCGAGTTTTCCCTTTCGTTTGCTCGCCACCCTTCGTTGCGCAGATGCATCGTCGCAGCGAACGAGATACTGATTACCTACTCATTCCTGGCCAGTAGTACGATCCTCTGGTATCGCTCGCAGGACCGCCATTGCTTCCTTCAGTAGGTTGACGATCTTGCTCAATGTGCGATCGACCGTTAACGTTTTCTTATCGCTCTGCCTCAGGTTGCCGCAATGTTCACACAACAACTGCAGCTGCAAAACCGCACACTCCAACCGCTAGCCTCCAACCTTCCGATTCCAGTCCGTCCACGTCTACACCACTCACGGCGTTGGCTATGCAGGGTTCAAATCAGTTGAGCTTGGAGACTCCGCAGAACGGTGCTGGTGAGTTTTGAGTTTGGAAAGTGTAGACGAGAAGTGTGGCGAGCGAAGATAGACAAAAGAGGGATAAGAACTTGGCTCGTGGCTTGTCGGGGCTGCGGGTTTGGCATAGCACAGGGCTCGCTTAGCAGCATGGCGGGGTAGATCGGCGACCTACATTACTGACCTGGGCTGCTTTTCTGTACAGAATGGGTCTTGACTCAATTTGACAAGGCCGTCAACTGGGCACGACAGGGTTCAATGTGGCCGATGACTTGTGAGTGTGTTTCTGATAGAATCGAAGTATACGAGTGGCTCATTGTTGGCGTCCCGATCGTAGTCGGTTTGGCATGTTGTGCCGTAGAAATGATGCACATGGCTGCAGCACGATATGACCAGGATCGTCTCGGTGTGGTCTTCCGAGCTTCTCCTCGTCAGTCGGATATTATGATTGTCGCTGGTACCTTGACCAACAAGATGGCACCCGCGTTGCGAAAGGTGTATGATCAGGTATGTTTTTCGGACTGTGCTGTACGGACTATCATTGACCTTGTTGGTCGCTGTTTAGATGCCCGACCCGCGATGGGTCATCTCTATGGGTTCTTGTGCCAACGGTGGCGGTTACTACCAGTAAGTATAGGCAGCTTGCTGACTTGCCGAAAGGTGCGCTCATGCATCTTGTATTCTCAGTTACTCCTACTCTGTCGTACGAGGATGTGACCGAATCGTACCGGGTATGTTTCGTCGCCTGTCTCGCACTGAGTCGTATACTTAACCTGTCTCCTCCTTCGCAGTCGATGTTTACGTACCTGGTTGTCCTCCCACCGCTGAGGCTCTATTATACAGCATGTTGCAATTGCAAAGGAAGATGAGGTACGTCACGAGCCCTGGTGAATGGCACGATGGCGATGCTGATATGCTTTCACCCATGTTTCTTGCAGGCGTAACCGAAGGAGTGTGTCGTGGTACCGATCTTAGGCTGCTCTAGAAGTACTTCAGTCGTCGATCGTCGGCATTGTGCGGCGTTGTAACATATCATGCAAGAGAACTTTACCAATATATTAGCGGACAACCTCTCGCGACTTGGCGTGTCATTTGGATTGATCTCGGGCATACCTGTGCTGACAGGTCTATGCAATGCGGGCACGCTCGCTACCAAAATAACCATGGCGCCCAAGTTACCATCATAAGTCTACTTGTTGTCGTGGCCGTATCATCCCAATCATGGCCGGTAGGTTTTGGACACTCGCAGGTGAGCGAAAAGAAGCAGAACGCAATTTGGGCATGCTCCTATTTCAACATAGATTGATGTGCCGATGAATTCCGAAGAGGTCTACTTTCGGCAACAACAAAAAAACCCTTCGGGGCCATCCAGTATCCACTTGGAGATCTTACTTGTCGGCGGGTACAGGCAAAGAATCCTGCCCAGGCGCCGAAGGCAATAAGTCTGATCGAAAACGCCGCTAAAAAGTTGACTGCTTGGTAAAATATATAAAGTGCGATCGAGGTGTAAAACGTCAAAAAGAAGACGTCCTCTCAGCCCGGATCGAACGGGCGACCTAAGCAGGTCTGGAAATTCATGTGACGCCCGCTCAATGCGGGGTCAGGGGATTACAATGCTTCGCTCTTCCAACTGAGCTATGAGAGGTGGTCGACACTCCCGCTCGCCTTCTACAATTCTAGTTTGCTTGTAGACATTTCCCTTACACAATCCTCAATTCATCAAGAACCCCCGAGCAGGACCCAACTGTCAGCTCTGTCATCTCGGGCCTCTTTCCACCTCTATGCCGACATCGTCCGGTGCAACAACGTAGGTAGGACGCTGAAAAGGACTGCGGGAAGTCATGGACGTGCGTGTTCGAAGCTCGGTCGAGGACCATGAAGTGCAAAGTGCGGTGCAAGAAAACGATCGATAGCCATATTTCACTCTTTGGTTCCGCGCACGCGTCGAGGATGGCTGCGATTCGGCACGGTACGTGTTTCCCGAGCAGTTCCTTGCCGCATGCCACGACGGTGGTTGTATTAGCCTTATTACTAAAGTACTTGCTACCTTCTCACCAGTCGGTGCAGCTCTGTAGACCAGCAACCACAAGCGATCATCATGTCGGATATCGGTGGTATTACTGCCAACGGCAAGGGCCAAGTCTCCAACTGCGGCGTGTACGTCTACGCGTTCCCCTCCAAGCAGTTCCCTCGCTCATTCATATCCTCCCTCTCAGCCGCCTGACAAACTACCCTGCCATTGCCAACCCCAAACTTCCCGCTGAAGGTTCAGCCTCATTTAGCAACGTTCAACTCGCTCTCTGCGTCTTGCTCTTCCCGCGAGTGCTTCAAGCACTCGCGCCATGGATCTTCCGACTCTCCAACAGCTGGACATGGTACTTTTTCCTCGTCGCTTTGTTTGGGCTTCCCGTAACTATTGCGTACTGGACATTGATGAGCTACATCGGTCCGCGAGTCAACGAAAAGTGTATTCTGCCTGGTAAAGGCTTGGATGGCTACGTTACAATTCACGACGCTGGGTTAAAGCAAAAGTACCCTTTCAAGATGCCCATGCAGGTCTTCCACGACGCCTTTTTCGAGGGCAAGATTGATTTCAACGGTGATGTTCTGGAGATGATGGAATATAGACACGATTGGGCCACGTTCAACTTTACCCCCGAGGTAAGTTATTATGGTCCGAGCATCGCCGCAAAGCCTGACCGATCCCTCCCTGTCCAGCTCTTCAAATTCGTCTTTACCAACTTGCTTCCGGAAGTTATCATGCACTCTGCCAGCCAGGACGAGGAACAAGTCCGAGACCACTACGACCGGGGAGACGACTTTTACGAGTGGTTCCTCGGACCTCGGATGATCTACACATCCGGTGTTATTAGCGATATCAACGTGGAAGAATCTTTGGAACAATTGCAGGACAACAAGCTCGCTCTTGTTTGTGAGAAACTCGCGTTGGAACCCACGGACAGGCTTTTGGATATCGGTTGTGGTTGGGGAACACTTGCTGCGTTTGCTGGTAAAAACTATGGTTGTGATGTCACTGGTGGTAGGTCGCTTATGCTAGACGTGTCGAGTCGGTTCTGACAACCAGTCGTCCCCGCTAGTCACCCTCGGCAAGAACCAAACTGCGTTTGGCAACAAGCGATTGCGGGACAATGGTGTTTCTGAAGCTCAAGGTCGAATTCTCTGCATGGATTTCCGGGATGTCCCGCACGCAAAGGGCTCGTTCAACAAGATTGTTTCCCTCGAAATGGCCGAAGTGAGTATTCCCGTCCCGGCGACCATCTCCATCTTCCAGGCTTACCCGCTGCCATCCTTCTTAGCACGTCGGTATCCGACGATACAGCGCGTTCTTGAAGCAAGTGTATAATCTGTTGGACGACGATGGAATCTTTGTCATGCAAGTAGCAGGTATCCGAACCTGTTGGCAATTCGAGGATTTGAACTGGGGTCTCTTGTAAGCGCGCTCGTCGTCGGGATTCAAGTTGTAGGCAGCTGGCTGACTTTTCTTGCATTCAGCATGAACAAGTACATCTTCCCTGGAGCGGATGCCTCGTGCGCCCTGAACTGGGTGGTCAGCCAGGTAGGTCGCGCATGCCAGGGATAGCCAAATCTTACGCTAACGAGTCACGTCCTCGCAGTTGGAACACGCCAACTTTGAAATCAAGTCCATTGACGTTTTGGGTGTCCACTACTCTGCCACCATTGACCGATGGTACAAGAACTGGGTCTCCAACAAGGAAAAGGTGATCGCCAAGTATGGAGAAAGGTTTGTCGTGCTTACTCTATGCCGGGCGACGGCGCGCAGCTCATTCGTCTCGATGAATAGGTGGTACCGAATCTGGGTCTACTTTTTGGCCTACTCTACCATGTGAGTCTTGATGCTCCCTTCGCATTGAAATCTGCGCTGACTTCTTCTGCGATGCAGTATCTCGAGGTAACTAGGTCACGCTGTCGCACAGACGCGACCCAACACTAATCCAGATATACTTTAACGTCCTTATAGGCAAGGTTCCGCTTCCGTGTTCCAAATCACGATGCACAAGAACCTCAACGGCTTCCACCGAGTGAGCTCCACTGGGACACTGTACATGCTGTGGCGGGCGGTACTGATGGTTATTCTCCAATAGATCGAAGGAGTTCCTAGCCACACAAGCTTGCACGCTCCCAGATCTCGAAAGCTGCAGTAAGCTATTCGTGACTCGAAAGGTTCCATGCTGCTGCTTACTTCAGTCGTCACCAGGCCTGTCGTGTAAGGTTAGGAGTGTAAATAGGTTACTGCATTGAGCAGTACTCTACAGAAAAAAACGGCTTCAAAGGCTGAAATACGCATAGCATCGATAGAAGGAATGGATCTGGTCATTTAGGGGTTCTTTAAATGCATGTAGCATAAGAGGGTTTCTGAATGGGCGGATATCATGTCTACATTTCATGCGGCACTTGGGAGTAACCTTTCAAGAATGTTGTCCAGCTTGTCGAGAAGCCGGTCAATTATCATTCTTCGCGTTCCCCAGAGCCTTGGGCAATCCGATGACCACAAATTGTGATATCCTGCTGTTAATTGATGAGCTCCGGGGCGTCTGAATGGATCTAGTTTGGCCGCTGGCTAGCAGACAAGGTTCTGGATTTATATGAGCCCAAACACCTTTTCTGGAGGTTGTTCACACCACGACGCTACTAATTATCTTGCGCCGCGGAAGAGAAGCTGAAGAGGAATTATAATGGCAATCGGGACGCCGCCCGCCCCAAACATACCGCGCGAGCGAGTGACAGCGTGTTTCGTGTCGCAAAGCTTTCTCCATCGACGGACAAGAGGAGTACATCCTGAAAGATTTCAAGTGCACGATCAGTGTCCCAAGTGTTGCAGAGTTTGCTGTTACAAAGGGCCTGCTATCTCGGTACATTTCCAGCCATGTCCTTTTCCGCCCTTTTGAAGCCTACCGGGTTCCGTGTTGCCTCGAAGCGTTTGGCAGTGGTGAGTCAATCTTTTGAGGATTGTCCTAATGCATCCTGATGCTGAAAACTCGATATATCAATGTTTCTTGTAGCCGGCTGGACGATTCTCGCAAGCTCGATTCTTGGAAACCTCGGCTGCCACTTCAGAACCTCATGGAGCACTTCCCGAAAGCTCTTCCGAGCCTGTAAGTTAAACGATTAGCAGCAGCTTTACTTGGTTGCCGAACTTTTTGCCCCTGCAGTTTACGGTCAAGCTCCATGCAGAATCCTTCCACGGTTACCGATGTGACCCACCTTCGTTGGATGTGTCGGTCACCAAGGACCAGATGATTGACTTGTACACGCAAATGGTAAGCTGATCTTTAAATGACAGTGCGTAAAGTCTCAGCTCATCATATTGCAATGTTTATAGACCCGAATGAGGCGAATGGAGCAGGCAGCTGATGCATTGTACAAGGCCAAACTTATCCGAGGTTTCTGTCACTTGGCTATCGGTCAGGTAAGCTGCATTGCCTGTGCTTCTTCACTGATAGTGTCTGGCCATACTAAACTCTCATGTTCGCTTATCAGGAAGCTGTCGCTGTTGGTATGGAATCCGCAATTACTCACGAGGACAACGTCATTACTGCCTACCGATGCCATCCCTTTGCCGTGCTCCGAGGTGGTACAATTCACAATGTTCTCGCTGAACTGTTAGGTTAGTGACATCGGGCGGGTTGAGGTCCGGCGTAAACATTAACGAGAAGCCATCTTACAGGCAAGGAGACCGGTATCGCAAAAGGAAAGGGTGGTTCCATGCACATGTTTACCAAGTGCTTCTTCGGTGGTAACGGTATTGTCGGAGCTCAGGTGCCGGTCGGTGCTGGTATTGCCTTTGCGCAAAAGTACCAGAACAAGAAGACGGTGACCTTTGCCATGTATGGTGATGGTGCATCCAACCAGGGGCAAGTGTTCGAGGCGTACAATATGGTAAGTACCATCTGAGTAGCATTCTGTGGAACGCTTACAGAGCCTTGATTCCCCCCTCAGGCGAAATTGTGGAACTTGCCGGTGGTTTTCGTTTGTGAAAACAACAAGTACGGTATGGGTACTTCGGCTGAACGATCATCGCAAAACACCTTGTTCTTCACCCGAGGTGACCAGATCCCTGGTATCCAAGTAAGTGTAAAGACAAATACTTGAAGCGTTACTTTGCATTCTAACGCTTTCGGGCTTGTTCCAGGTCAACGGTATGGATGTTTTGGCTGTCCACAAGGCTTGCGCGTTCGCAAAGGAATGGGCTACTAGCGGAAAGGGACCGTTGTTGATGGAATTCGTTACGTACCGATACGGTGGTCACTCGTAAGTCCAATACTGGGTCGCTCGCCAAATACCACGTATTGAATCGGATTCTCTCATCTCTTAGCATGTCCGATCCCGGAACCACCTACCGAACTCGAGAAGAAATCCAGCAGATGCGATCCACACGAGATGCCATCACAGGTATCAAGACCTACTTGACTGAATGGGGAATCGCCGATGATGCCAAGCTTAAGGCAATTGACAAGGCGGCCAAGGCGGAAGTTGATGCAGCTGTTGACCAGGCCAAGAAGGATTCTTTCCCTGACCTCGATGCCTTCTGGACCGACGTATACGTAAGTGGTGTTTGCCCTTTGGAATGGATATTGATGTCGGTCACTGACCGATATTTACCTT